TCTTGGGCTTAGTTTGATTAGGATCAGAATTGGTAGCCTTCCCATTTTTGCGGGGCGCGGCACTGTCGCCTTCACTGCGGGACTGCTGCTGTGCGACACTACCGCTCTAGGATGCTGCACTGCCGCGGTCTGTGCAGTCTGATCTATACCAATTTTGCCCTTCCTCTCAAACTGCACACACTCATAGCCATTCATTATCCTTCTTCCATTTGTCTTGGCTCTTTTTGTGTGGCCGAGCCCATGCTTGATTGAGGGATGCCTTCCTTGCTTAAATTGTGGCCCTTTTGATTCATCATTCTTCTTGTCATTGAATTGGGTCACACTCATCCACCCTTTTCCAATGATTTCATTGAGCCTAGCAATCTCCTTTCTCATAGCCTCCATGCTTGCAAGGTTAGTGGAATAGGCATTCAAATCAAGATTAAAACATTTTCCGCAACCTTGACTAGTGGAGGAAGTAGAGGTTTCCTTTACCTTAGAGAGATGTGAGTTGCTATCCCAAAGAATGCCATATTGCATCTCAAGTTCTTTGTGCTTTTCATCCAAGTCACAATACTTTTTCTTGAGAGCTTTATTTGCTTTCTTTGTGATAGCATGAGGAAGAAGCCGAAGATTGTGGCCAGAATGTGCCTGTGCGGCAGCCAATGCCGTGGCAGCGCCATGACGAACGCCATGAAGAGCGACCTCCCTGACGCGATTCAGGATGTCATACAGGCGAACTATTGGGACGGCACCTCTGGCATTGACAAATCCTGCCACGTACTCCGCAGCTAGTTGAAGGCTCTCCAGTTGGGCGGACAAATCTGAAAGGTTCAAAAGAGAGATGATCAGAATCCTGAAGGTGAAATTAAAAGAAAACGAAGGTTATGATATCTCACCCGTAATTCTAGCCTCGACTTTGGCCAATTTGTCATCCACTGAATCAGCCATGGGAGGCGATCGACATCGAGCCATGGCCAGGGTTGATTCTGTGAGAGAGAGACATCCAGCGAGACCCTGGCCATGATTGTCGATGGTGGCAAGCAGGTCATCATTGCCAATCTGTCGCCTTGGGTAGCAAGGCAGCTAGCGATGAGCTATCGACGAGGAAGACCCCAAAGGCCGAATGGAGTCGGCCCTATAACCTGAGACAGTGGGCACATCACGGGCTGCACCCTCTTGACGATGAAAGCGCTAGCGTGATGATGCAGATCCGTCGGGAGCCCCCTCAGCAGACCTTTTGCTATTCTCCATGATCTCAAGCTTATGGAAAAAGCAGGGACTATACTGAGGGTGCCGAGGGATTGAGACAAAAGCGGGTTGTTGCTCGACCCTCGGCCATAGCCCGAATATATAGCCCGGGGAGACAAAATCGGTTTCGCCAGAGGTACGGAATTGAAATCAGAGATGGAAACGGATCGACACACCAGGAATTTAGGGAACGGATAACGGAGAGGCAACAGATTCGAACTTATCGCTTCCCTAAATTACGAAGCATCATGGGACGGATACAAAGAATTTGCTTGGATCAGAAATCAACCCACCAAAGCTTCTTTTGGATTGAAGGGAGTCCGGACCCCCACAAGGCCGAAGATCATCATAAACCAAGTTACATCGGCCCATTAACAAGATTGTGCCAAAGAAAGGGAAAAGCCTCCAGACTGGCAGATACACAACTGATTTCTCTGTGACTGGAAAACCACTAGAAAGAAGCTCGTGGTTTTCCCGATAGGCATTTGATGGAATGAACAAGGGAAAAGTGCCCACACACTCTAGCCCTTGCAAACACTAGAACAGCTCTGCAAGCCTGGTGAGAAGACACAGGCGATATCACAAGACTTCTTCTAGCCGTAGCAGCTGATTCTTTTGCTCGACAAGGTGCTAGAATGAGCGACACAATCACCCTACGCACAATAATTCTTCTAACCGCTCAAGATCATCATAACAAAAGGATAGACCATGGAGGGTCCAGCAGAGTTGGGAGCACTCGGAAAGACGGATGGAAGAGAAACATGGCTGAAGTAGTGAGTTGCTCTCGCCAGGGTCGGATAAGCGTTTTATAGCCGGCCTGGGAAGATGAATCCAAATGCCCGTGAAACAGTGGTGCTCTTGCAAAAGTTTTGAGGCATAGGCATGTGAATGGATCCAAGTGGTGACGAACGGTGGATCCCAAATCAAGGTTCTCTACCCGTGACTGTGGACCAATCAGGGATGCAGACATGATAATTTTGGGATAAAATTACTTTTATCTCAAAATTAGGGGGCATGTGTTTACACCAAAATTTGGAAGAAAGATTTCAGAGGCTCGAAAATTCCCAAAAACCATGTCAGCGAGGAATCAATTGCGTGTAAATCAAAAACAGCTGATTCGGATACAGAACTAGAATCGGCTTTCTTCAGATAGCGCTAGTGGATAACGACAGAAGCTATGATCGGCGCTGGGACGAGGCATGCTAGACTCTACAAAAAGGAAAATATTAGAGTCCAAGTTATCTTAAATTAGAAATGTTTTCATTTTTATGCCAAAGATTGTAACAAATCATGCTCGAGTAGGATTCATATCTAGACTCTAGGTATAAATATCAAACCCCAGCTATTGTAAAAAAACGAACAATCAATCAAATACAAGTCAATTACTTTTTTTGACTTTGACCACCCCTTAAGAGTAGGAGTAGAGTAGATCTCGGCGAGTTCTTCAGCGAGTACGGCTGCATCGATCCGGTCGACCTCCACTGCTTGTCTGTAAGTACCGTCATGGTTGATACCTCTTTTCGTATGGCTGCATCGATCCGGTCGACCCCACTACGACTCTAGTATAGGCTAGTTATCGACTCTTGTCTAATTCAAGTATGGCTTATGTGATTCTGCCTCACACCCCACTGCTTGAATTAGATCAAGGTCAAGTTATCGGCTCTATCTTAGTATGACAATCTTTGGTAGATTCATTAAGTTATCGATATTGATTATTGCTTTCATTGTTTATCTAATTACAGCAATATCACTCTGCCCGATTGAGATTGATCTGGATCGGCCTTATATCTTGTTTAACTCATCGTTTGCTAATCTAAAATTGATCTAATCTATATCTTAAGCGATGAGTTATATTTTTATTGGCTATTTTGCGTCAATCTTAATCGTGCATAGCGTGCGGTTAAGGCATGTTCGATCTTGAGTAGATCTATTGGTTAATAAAAACTATTTCATGGCCCGTCATCACGGCCTGTGAGATTCTACCTCTCACCCCACTGTTGGCACCGTGGAGTGGGGATCGTTAGTTGGTAGACCCGTTTCTAAGAAGGCATGACTTTAACTGTGCGATATGCTGAATCGGCTGTTTAGCCGATATCGAGCGCTTTCACGAACAGTCCACATTACGAGATCATTGAAGTAGAGATAAGTTAAAATATATATTAGCCCCATGATCTTATTATTGTATTATGGCCTGCATGATTCTGCCTCATGCTCCACCGATATTAGTACTGAGTTAGGATCGTTGAGTCTATTATTGTTTCTACGGCCTGCATGATTCTACCTCATGCCCCACTGGTCATGGCGATAGATGAGATCTAACATGTTCATTAGATTTATTTTTATTAAATGGTCAAGTGGTGTTGAATTGTTTCTTTATATAAAAAGGAGTTCGGTTACTTGTAATCATTGGCTCGGTATAAACCGATCATCATTGATATCTTACTGCTATTGACTCATGTTTGCTTAAATAATATTTATCCTGAATGATAACCGATTCTTCTTATACAACCCTATGAGCTTTAATTAATTTATCCTTATGAATATGCTGGAATTGACTATTTAGTCGATCTCCTCTCATATCGGCTCTCAGAGCCGCATATTTGGGACTGTCTGGCAACACCAACACGTTCTGCCCTTAATTACTGATAAGCTTTCTCTCCTTGTCAATTGCAGGATCAAATTGACTGGCACGTCTCGGGAGGATTGCGCATGATCGACCACCCTTGTGCTGAAGCTAAGCGGATCTGCTCCATCGAGCGGACCCTTCCGGCTTGCTGCGTGTGTCCTCGACACGAAGACGAAAATTCTGTGTCGACAGATACGTAGCAAAATTAATGTACAAAAAAAAGTCAAACTGCTAGTGTCTAGACGTGTGAACGGACGCCCACGTCTGGTCCAGGTGGCCGCGCTGCACTCTGTTTCCCGCACGTGCCTCCACGCCTAAGCTCACACCAGCACGCCTCCACCCGAACCACGTCCGCGCCGTCAGATTGCACGCGGGGACAGGTCCCCCCCACCCCACCCATCGCCCTCGCCCCATGTATTCCATGTGCAACATCCGATCTACTTTTAAAACATCCAGATGTAATACTTACAACATTAGATAGATGAAAACACTTGAAACATATTTATGAAACACTTGAAAAACATCTAAAAATATTTGAAAATCATTGTAAACATACGAAACATCAAAATAAAACACATGCAACATATATGTGAAACATATGCAATATCCAGATAAACACACTTGCAACGTCCGTCTGAAAACATAGATGAAACATTAGGAACATGCACTTGCAACATACGTGTACAACCATTGCAACATATACAACATTCTGATCTACTTTTTCATCGTCCATCTAAAACACTCGTTTTCAAAGATAATAAGAAAAATGCTTTGAGCATGCACTTGTTTTTTCACGATCAGGCCGTAGCCTGTTTTCGTTAAGAGGACAAGAAAGTTTTAGTTACGCGACATCGAATAGTCCTAGCTATTCCAAGCCAGCTCGCAAGACGCTAGCGTTTAGAACCAACTGAGAATGTCGATGAGCTCGAGCTAGACCCTAGCAGCAGCAACACGTACAAAGGACTATACCATAGTAGAATCTGCGACCGTGGTACAACGACAAGGTAAAGCATGCACTTGTTTCGGTGCACGTATTACAAACTCATCGACATGCAAAGTGTACCAACATACCGAGTAGACATGCTTGGCTTAAAGCATCAACTCCAGGACTTAAAATCCACTAACCAACACGGAGAGACCCTCGTCACTGCGCCTTCTTCTTAGCTTCTTTGGCGCGGCCCTTGGCGCGGATGCTGATGGACCTGTTTAGGAACATCCTGTCGGCGATAGGCTCAGGCACAAGGGAGATGAGGAGCCACACCAGTGCGTGCCCCCAGTACGGCGTGCACCGCGGCTCGTACCCGATGTAGCGGACGGCGGCGCGGGCATACGTCTCCGGCGACGGTGCCAGGAAGGTGGGTTTCCTGATGGACGCCAACTTCGTCGCCACCTGTATGGGTACCTGGATCAAAGAACAACATACATACAGATTCCAAGACTTATTTCTTTCTCACAAAAAAAAAGATTCAGGACTTTCAGTAGCCACTGCACTCATGGCAAAAGAGTTCAGCTAGCATGCTTTAAGTCATGGGGGAATGTATGGAGGCAAGGCAGATAGCATAGTAGATATGATGGCTCCATATAACAGCATTCATGACACCAACAGCGAGCGTATCACCGATAGTCAACTTCCTATAAATGTTTCTTCTTAGTGTCAGGGTTAGGCTGTGTTTAATTGGAGCAGTTGGATGTTTCAAAGGGCAGATGTACTAGTGGTTTCATTTAATTTCTATCCAATAAATATGCATTATGCAAATCGGTTTCTTATTGGGGCCACCTGACAACGGCTTCTGCAAGTATTGATACGTACCCACAATCCAGTGTATCGAGCTTCACTTGTACCATGCATAACTTATATTCCTTCTGTTCATTTTTTATAAAGCATTTTTCTCATTATCCAAGTTCATGATTTGACCAAGAATTAGTCAAATAAATGAAAGTTATGTGCCATAAAATCAATGTTAATATTAGATCCGTACTTTAAATCACTTGTTAATGATTAGTATGTCTTATAAAAATGGATTATTGTATATGAGAATGTGGAAAGACCGCGTGGTAACTTATGTGCATTCAAGCATTCCATAGCGAGAAGGGATACCGACGGAGGACTGCAAAATTAATGCTTTGCATCAAACAATTTAGACGGATTAAATGGAGACTTTAACATATTTTAAACATTTTTAGCAGTTAGTAAACTGAGTGCATTGCCATTGAAAAGCCATTAATTCAGAGTTGATATTATTTGGTTTGTATTTAACATCACTTGGTAATTATTATAATTTTATAACTACTCATAATATTGCAGAAAAAATTCGGTCAAAATACATATTATTGAAAATAAATAAACGGCAAGAATATCCCAATGTTACTGTTTGGATAGATCCAACGAAGAAATTTAAAAGGGTTACTTATGTACATTTTGAACATTTTTAGCAGTTTGGTAAAGTGAGAATGCATTTTGCAAATAAAAAGCAGTTAGTTCACACCTGGCATTGTACGTCTATGCCTTTGCTCTTGTATTCGACATATAGGCACCTCGAAAATTGGTCGACATAGCTGCCAAATAAAAAAAAATAAGTAGTCTCATCACTTGTTCTCAAAAGATATTTGTACAATCTGCTGGAAATAGTCTAGCAGAGTTACCATAATCTTTTTATTGTATTTTTAGCTTGGGTGTTAGTTGTAGACAATTCCAGTTTATAAACAACGTCGAGTTTCTTTAATCTTCATTATAATCACAAGAACACAATAATCGACACAGAAAACACAAGAGACTAATTTGATGGTAAATGATCAATTCTACTGTAAATTCCACATTTTCGTAAAAAGAGTATGACTGACAACAGTAAATTATTCCTATTATTGCATAGTAATCTAGTCCTTCCATATGAGTATATGACCCCAACAAATCGTTAGCTTTAGAAAAATGATATCCCGACAATTATATATACTTTACACAAATTAAATAAGCTCAGCGGCCCGAATGTGCTCTAATAATAAGCTTACGGAATTGTAGACCTTGCCATAGAGCAACCACAATATATATGGACTGGGTAGTACATATGGACAGCTTTTATGTCAGTGGGTTGTAGCTATGGCTGTTGCCATAGGTGTGATAGTGAACCAAACAGCTATCGAAGAAACTGTGGCACGACAAACCTTTAGCGTGGTAAGTTTTGGTCACCAACTAAACATGCCCTAAATGGACCAAAATATGAGGCCCACTAATAATCCATAAAAAACACACGCCCGTTCCTCCTTGACTCTCGTCTTGCAAGTCGTGACTCCGCCCGCAAACTGCTGCCTCTGCCGCCGCTCGTTGCTCCCTCTACACCTCGCCTCTTCTCCATGTAGATCGGACTGCCACTGCCTTGAATCAGACTCGAGCTTCTTCTTCGTATGGGGTGCGGACGCCCGGTAGGTCGGGACAGCGACCTCGTCAGGGCGCAGACGCCCGGGACAGCGCAGCTGGCCGGGGCGCGGACGCCCGGGACAGCGACCTTGCCGGGGCACGGACGTCCAGGACTGCGACCTCACCGATGGCGGCCTCGCTGGGCGCACGGATGTCCGCGGCGTCAACCTCGCTGTGGCGCGCGCGGATACCTGCGACGGCGACCTCGCTGAACACGCCTTCTGGCTTGCCATCAACGCTGGATCTGCCGTGCAGGGGGGCGACGGAGCTGTTTTGCTAGAACCGAGGGAGAACTGGAATAGCAGAGAAAATATTTTTTTTATTTTTCTTATGGACAGTCCATAAGACTATGGTACCTTTAGTTATAGACCACTCTATTGTCAAATCCATAATATTTCAGGTAGCTGGTAGAAAATATTTTAATCCTATGGACTACCCTTATGATTGCATTGTGGTTGCTCTTATGGGCCTGATTGTTTGAACTTATCAGTCAACTTATCAGCTAGAATCTACAGTATTTTTCTCTCACAACAAAACAGCAGCCGGTTTATCAGTCGGCTTTAATAAGAATGTCGTCGTGCTAGCTAGGTGAGTCCCATGCCTATAGGAATAAATATCACCAATAACAAGACGTATGAGCATGTTTTGGGGAGAAAAAGTTATAGTGGTGAGTAATCAATTGCCGTGTTGACCATTGTGGCTGTACCAGTGATACGACATACTGTATGAAGAATGCTCATTTACTCTGCACCAGATATAATAATTATCATAACGTTGTAGTGGTGTGCATGTTATTTTGCTTCATCCTTAATATACGCTATATACAAATCCTAAAAGAACAGTAATTTTGGGACGGAGTGAATATGCTTTTAGCCACACTACATCACGAGATGGACACAGAATTGTAGACCGTACATCATTTCCAATCTATCCATGTTTGAAGTCATGTTCACTTTTAGCCACTACATCACTAGATGGACACATACCGACAATTTCTCAAATAAGCTAAGCAGCCTAAGTTCTCCAATGGCCAAGCTCATGGAATTCTAGACCTAAGTGCATCATTTCCAATCTATCATGTTTCACGTTATGTTTGAAGTTATGTTCACTTAAGAGTTAAAACAAAGACCTTTAAGTTTTAACGATTAGATTGATCTCTAATCCTAAACTGGGTTGGCCCGTTGTGCCTTTGATCCACGCCCTGATCGAGGGCGCCTAGCCCACTATGGCTGGAGGGCCCCTGTCACACTGCGCTATATATAGAGATGGGGCCGCGGCTCTATGAACGAGGTTTGCCGTGAACCGAGCTCCCCAACGAAACCTAAACCCTAATCCCGATCAGAGAGGGGCGCAGCCAGTGACGGCAAGCCACCAGCCGCGCCGCCCCGCTCCACCGACGTCGACGACTTCATTGACCTCTTCCCCGAACGTCGCTGCACGTGCGCAGACTTCACCGACTAACGAGATGGCAGTTTCTAGACCATCTCCCTCTATGGTGTCAGGTTCGACACGTTCTTCTTCTATTCCTCCATGTCTCTCTACTCTCGATATCGCATTCACAGTAAAGAGGACCCGCTAGACCTAACTCTAGATGATCTTTTCGATCTCAACAATGGTACCAGAGCCAGGTCTTCTAGGACTTTTAGATCTAGATCGGGTGAACGAAAAACACAGTGAAATCGAATCCCTAACCCTAGTTTTGATCCGAAATTTCTAACCCTAACCGGATAAAAGAAAATGACAAGAGATCAGGGGGTGGCGGGCGTCACTCAACTGCCGGTCACCACCGCCACCGCGCGGCAAGAAAAGAACAGAGCTGTCGCTCATCTGCTCATCACCGTGACGCGCATGCGGGCTCAGGGCGCCAACACGGGGTCACTCGACGGCGGTGCGCTCTCCCTCCGGGGAGCACGCGCGCCGGAGAGAGGGCCCACGGCGGCGCCCCCACCTCCTCCGTCCGGCCATGGAGCCAGCCGCTGCTTCTCTGTGTTTTGGCGCAAGAGACATAGGAGGAAGGGAAGAGAAAGAGAGGAGGGAGGAGACCCGACGCGGGGGCGAGCTTCGGCTCACCGAACCGACGGCGACCTCCTCACCGCGCCGATGGCCGCTTTGGCTGCCTCCGTGCAGCGTGAGGCGCAGCAAAGAAAGCAAGAGAAAGGGAAATGGGGTTAGGGTTTTGGGGAGGCCGTCGTCGCCATTTTGTTCGCGCGAGATGGACGGACGGCCGTCGGATCGAGTCGGACGGCTCAGATTGATGCGGGGCGCGGTGAGGTGCCAAGATGGGCCACTTTCCCGGCCCAGGCCTAGGTTGCGGCTCCTGGCGCGAGAGCGAGCCATGTGCTGACTTCGCCATGAGCGGTTGCTCGCCACGCTACAAAAATGGGTCACAGATCTTCTGCGCGACTTCTGTCATGGCCAAGGCTTGCCACTGGCTAGAACCTCACTTACAGGTCATTGGTTGGGCAGCGTCATTTGCAGCAACAAATAGGACGCTGGGTCACACTCCACCTGGCAGAGGCCAAAATGAATAGAAGAGTAATTTTTTGTTTTATTATTTTTCAGAAGTGAATTTGATGAATTTTGTTTAAATTCTCTGTTAAATTTTGAACCATGTGGATAAATTTTCTGAGAATAGAGAAATTACAGAGAAATGCTTCTGAAAAATAGATAATTTTTTACGTTTTCCGCTGCTAAAGAAATAGTTTATTCTGCAGTTATTTTGAGCCAACGTGATATTTAATTGGAGAAAAAGAGATTTTAACATGATTATGATGTTATTTTCTGACCAACGTTGTTAATAAAAATATCGTAATTTTAATGATTTTATGTATTATTTTTATTTCTGTCCAACGGTGATGTAGATTTAATGTATAAACAGTTGTATGTTTTAATTTTTATCAACGTTGGAATCAAGGCATGCAATTGTTGTTATTATTTATGTTCTCACTATATGAATTGTGTTTTCAAGTGAATACAACTTGATGGGTTGTATCAAAGAGATCCCCACTCTCAAAGGTGACAAACACGGAGTGGAAGAAAAAGATCAACATGGCCTTCATCTTGGCTGATGTGGACTGGATAGTCACCTCACCGTGTCCCACTGAGCCTGTTGCACCGGTGAGGAAGACAAATGAGACTGGATGCCGCTTGGGCAAATAGAGAGGGATTTTGATTCCCAAAAGATGTCTTATGATCTTGAGCTTAGGAAGTGGATCACTGCCAACAAGAAATATTTGGCTATGATAAAAAACACAATTGAGCCTGCAATTGTGGGCTCAATCCCAGAGTGTGACACGGCCACCAAGTACCTCGATACAATAAAGAGTCAGTTCACTGGCTCTTCAAAGACATATGCTACCCAGCTAATAAAACACCGGTGACAGAGGGGTACTCTGAAAATGATGGCATAAAAGAGCACATACTAAGGATGAGTAATTTAGCATCCAAGATAAAACCAATAGATCTGGCTCTCAAAGAAGAGTTTCTTATCCATCTGATTTTTGTTTCCTAGCTAAAAGAATTTGACATTTTTGTTGTCAACTACAACATACAGCCCGAGAAGTGGGACTTAGAGAGGCTCATGACTATGTGTGTGCAAAAGAAGACAATGAAAGTTGTCAATGGTGGTACTATCAATTATGTGAAAGATAACAAGAAAAATAATAATAATGCTAACTCCTCCTCAAAGTCAAAGGGAAATGGTCCCATGATGCATCAGCCTCAGCAGAACAAGTTCACAATAGAGAAAGACCAGTGTCTCTATTGCAAAACGACGGAACATTATAAAAAAGATTGTCCTGATTATTTAAAGATGATCATAGCAAAAAAATGTGAGAACATTATTACGTTCATAAATGAATCCTTGGATGTACAGTATTCGAAATCTACATGGTAGATTGACTCAGGTGCAACTGTTCATGTTGATAATTTCTTATAGGGATTCCATTCGACGAGGACTACGCAAAGAAGAGAGAGACATGTTAAAGTTGCAAATGGAGTCCGAGCAGATGTTGAAGCCGTTGACGATATTTCTCTAGAGCTTGCTGATGACTTCACACTTTTACTTACAGATGTACTTTATGTTCCCTCTTTTAAGAGAAACTTGATTAGTATTTCATGCTTGGACAATGATGGATATGATTGTCATTTTAGAAATGGCAAATGTAAGATAATATTTAATAATGCATGTGTTGGTCTTACTATCTTACAAAATAAGCTTTATTTGTTATCACTATGTGATGATGTGAATGTTGTATGCGATGATGGAAACGTTGCGTGCGACAATGAGAATATATCCTCGTATGCGGATGTAAATAGAAAACGAAAGAGAGCTCACGATGCGTCGTCAAAATTATGGCACTGTCGTTTAGGCCATATTTCGAGGAGGAGAACAGAAAGACTAGTTAAGAATAATATTCTTCCTCCATTAGAGTTCTCAGATTTAGAACAATGCAGAGAATGTATAAAATGAAATAATATAAAGAAAATTAAGAAAGATGCTAAACGAAGCGTAGAAATTTTATAGATTATTCACACAGATATTTGTGGTCCGTTTTCCTATAAAGAGTGTGGATGGTTATGATTTATTTATAACATTCACAGATGATTACTCCCGTTATGGCTATATTTATCCAATCAAAAAAAGAACAGAAGCATTTAATAAATTTAAGATATTTAAGGCAGAAACTGAAAACCAACACAATTTAAAGATTAAGATAATCAGGTCCGACCGTGGGGTGAGTACTACGGTCGGCATATCTCATATGGCCAAATTCCTAGACCTTTTGTAAGGTTCTTACAGGAGAATAACATAGTAGCCCAGTATTCTACACTGGACGAACTCAGCAGAATAGAGTAGCTGAAAGACGCAATCGTACCCTGATGGATATGATGCGTAGTATGATAAGTTACTTCACACTACCATTGAGCCTGTAGATGGAGGCGTTAAAAACAGTCACTCATATTCTCAATAAAGTAACAAGTAAGTCGGTACCAAAAACACCGTATAAGTTGTGGACTGGAAGAGAACCCTCACTAAACCACTTACGTGTGTGGGGGGTCCTACTGAGGCTAAAGTATTTAACCCAAAAAATTGAGAAGTTAGATCCCAAATCAGTACGTTGCAATTTCATTGGCTACCTAGAAAAGTCAAAAAAATTTCGCTTCTACTGTCCAGACAGACATACAAAGTTTATAGAAACGAGAAACGCTGTCTTTCTAAATGATGAAATGA